CTCATGACTCTGCAGCTGAAGATTTCCCAGCATCTTCCCAGTCTGATGATTTCTGGCAGTTTGGTCACTTGTCACCTCCTAAGAGAGGCATCTACCAGACACCTCTTCTCGTTCCTTCCTCCCGGCTCTGCTTTACAGAGGCCTCCAACCACATTCCCCACATGTCCAGACGAGCACTTGGTTAAGGCATCTAGAGATAGAGAACCTGTTATTCTAAAGGTTTTGCAAGCTACTATAAACTTAAAAATAAAAGGCATGTCTTAAAGAAGTGAATGCAATGAATCTAACAATTATTTAGTACTTACTATTTATTACATTTTGTGTATGTGTGCACAAACACATGTATTTACACACATAAGTGTGTATGCATGTTTATTCATTGTGGGTTTTATTTAAAAAAAATCCAGAATTCCTGTTCCTGAGTTCCTTATTGATACACACTCTGCCCAGAGTGTGAATCACTCTGGAAGTGAAGGAAGGCTTGGTTTAAGCCCCACAGATTTGGCTTTCATGTCTACAAAGGCAGCATGACAAGTTAGTGAGGGAAAGGCATTTATTTTCACTGCATTTGATAACAGTTTACTGAAGATGATGCCCAGGGAGGCTTCCATCAGAAGAGAAATTGACTTCCAGAAACTCTGTACTTCAAAGACTTACGATGACCCCAGGAAACAGAAAAATACCACTTGGGCCAATCGCCCACTTGAGACCGCCCCTTCTTCTGGGAAATAGAAACCTGAGATGCAGTGTCGCTATCAGTCTCATCTTAGAGTCCATAAATTATTCATGGAAAATATCAATTTATTTATAGGATGGGTGCCCAAGAGAGAGTCCCAGATGTTTACCAATAACATGGTCCTGGAACTCCATCCTATTGAAATGATTCCTGTTTGGCAGGAATAACTTGTGCTAAGGGTTGTATCCATAGCCTTTTATAAACATGCCATTGATTTTGCATAGCTAACATGAGCATTGAAAGGGGACTCTTTAGAGACAAGTATGAACAGACACCAGGTTTTCGCCAGGGGGTGTGCATATGTGGTAGAAACTGATGAACCCAAATCCATGCCATTTGATGACTATCCTGGTTTTAGTCTACAAAGGCATTGTTTCAATCCGTTCTCTCTGTACTGTTTCTAAAATCAGCTCAAATTTTACCTTGTCAGTAGAAGAAGTAGCTGCAAATAATTTCATGCCCTGCCAATGACATAGGCACTGATTTTTAACAAAAGGCTTATAAAACTTTTTATGATACTATAAACCTGGAGAGCTCATGCCCATTAAAACATAAGCTTCATGTTACGTGTAATTAAGGCGAGGAGGAAAACATTAAAACTCTAAGTTTAAAAGTGTACCTTGTATTATATATGAAATGCACACAGAAAACGCTGCCTAAGTTCCACCTCAAAGACAAAGGTAAAGACAAGCAGGAAATGCTATGGAGAGTGAATGATTCCACGGCTGAAAAATGAATTGCTATTTCCAGTTCTCCAGGGGATACAGTGTATTGACAGTTAGAAGTCATTTTCTATTTTTCCAGATTGTAAATAAGAAAGTATCATTAAAGTCACATTCAGCTGCTATTTCGGTCCAGCAAAGTTTGAAAATTATTATTTATTTTTTGCTTAGGAATGAGGACTTGTGTATGAGGAAGAGGTTTGAAGAGATGGGCAAGGTCTGTCGAAGGCAGCATGAGAAGGGGCTCGGAGCTATCCTGGAACCCAGTGTGAGAGGCAGGCCTAGCCTGGAGCCTCTTCTTTCCACCAGAGCAATTGTGATGGGCTGTCGGGATTCACTCAGGCCATGTCTGCTCCCATGTGGGCATTTTGTACCATCCTCTCAACTAAATGTATTCACTGCACACAGACGTCAAGAATTCTGAATTCCAGCTATTAATGTAAGATCCGCTGGAGACCAAAGAACCTCATATCTCTAAGTGGGTATATGATTGGTTAGATGTTACAACATATGCCTTTTTTACTTTAATGCTCTTAACTTTTTTTTCCTCCTGTTCAAATTTTGAGTTATTTTCAAAAGCATATAAATTATAGACCAAATAAAAACTCATATCATAGAGTGTGAAGGATATTAAAATGTTGATCTTGATGCCATACAGTGAGATTTCAAATCTACACATTTTGAACAGATTTTATTATAGGGGAAAAAATGGAAATACAAATGAAATAAATATAAATAATATATAAGTTATAAATGATATATAAGTATATAAATTATACATAATATAAAAATCATTTAGCCTACTACTAAAACCTGTATATTGATGTATTTTACCAGCCAACCATAAAATAAGGAAATTTTTCACTAAATAGTTGAAAATCAATTGAATATATATATGTGAGGCCATCCATGTTATTTCTGAATTCTGATGTACAAATAATCAATTATAATTTCTTTGCTTTTTAAAAATATCAAAACATTGAAATAAATTTTACAGGAATTACCTTTTCACGTAATAAAAATATGTTGCTTTCCTGAGAAAAATATCTTGGTTAGATATATAACCTGTCTCGTCATAACTCAGCATAAATCAGATTCAAAACCTAATCTACCTACATATGATGACCTTGTAGGAATATACAGAAGACCCTTTTATGGTGCTTTCTCTGAAAGCAACTGTTTAATTTTGTTCTTCCTATTATTTGGGTTTAAATATTTATATTCATTTACACTGTAGATATACTTAAAAGTTGTATATATTCTTGAGAAGCTTAAGCATTAGTGTTTTGATTGTGTATTGTGTGTGTGTTAAAACATAGGGATATGACACTTAATAGAGCCATAAAACAAATTCTTTATATTTCAGCGAACATAAAGAAAACAAATGGAACCCCATTTTAGGAGGATTGCATGGTCTATATCAGTTAGAAAAAAATGAGCTCTATAGCCCCCTATACCAGGTGACTGAATCATAAAAGAAATATGGAAGTTGATAATAGTAGTTACTACAGCAATAAAAACATGATAAAATGTTCCTTGACAGTTTGAAACCTTGAAAGCCTTGCCAAATTGAAAGCCCTGGCACTATCCTGCTGTCTTTAGTAGGTCTTTGGGTTTTCTAACAACTTCTGGTTCATCCCTTTAAGTCAAAGTGATCTATCAAAATGCCTTAGTTTCCAACAGCAGTCAAAATCAATTGAACTTAAAACACACATTTAAAAAAAAAAAAAGACTACTATAGTATTTGCAGAGAAAGGATTTCTTGATTGAGTCAAAATGGTCAGAATCTGCTGTAGTGTCATTTTGCAATTGGATATATATATTTTGGAGTTAGCAGCCCACATGAGCTTACTCAAATTTATGTTTGTTCATTTTAAGTACAATAATCCTAGCCGCTGATTTTGATGACATTTTCTTTTTGCAAGGTGGAAAATTCACAGGGAAAACTTTACATACTGTTGATTCTTTAAGTCTTTGCTCAACTTAAGAAGGCCATAAGATGATAATTAATAAGTTCCTAACCCTGACAATCTCTCTAGTCTTTTAACCTTATTACTGTTTTAGACCCCTGTCTCCTGACCATGCCAAAGCATTACTGCTTTGAAATAACTCTTAGTGGGTTACACATTTTTTTGATCAGTTTCTGTTTTTCTTCTTGGAATCCTTCAGTGAAATGGAACTGAAGGAAGAAACTTCAAATGCATAACAGCATTATGTTTTCCTCATAAATATTACCAGAACTATTTCCATTTCAAAAATCAGTGATTTATGCCAACTCTTTCTAAGTAGAAATTACTGTTTTGTAGCAATGACTGCTAAGCACAGGGGTAACTAACGGGAGGAAGATCAGATGACCCAAGTGTAAGCCCAACTGGCAGCCAATGGTGAACCTTTCTTTTTCATATGTCCCTACAGGATCCTATTAGCCTACTGGATGGGTTGCAGATAGCCCACTGTGCTTTTAAATACACACACCACACACACACACACACACACACACACACAGTGTCAACAGTAATGCTTGGAAATACTTATGCAGTTATTTCTGACTTTTAATATTATAAATGTTTTCTTTAGTTTAGTTCAGTTTAGATTGGATGCTAATCAATTCTTACCAAAAATAATACACTTCCTTAAACTTTTACATCTAAAAATTGTTTAAATACCTATTCTTATTTTTTCTCATTCAAATTATGAACTTGTTAAGCACATACAAATACACATACACACACCTACACACACCTATTTCCCTAAGGTAAAATAAAATGTTTTTTCAATTAAGGAGTAATGAAAATGATCTTAGCATTTCAGTGCCTTATCTTAAAAGGTTATGTCCTATGTTCAAAAGTTTTGGTTATTGCACAGCAGGGAGTTCATCTGATCAAAATTCAGAGGATATCAGGATTGGAAGGAACTGGACAGTTATCCTATTAAACCACATTCAAATAGCTGAATGTGTATCATAGTATCCTTGCCAAGTAATCACTGTATCGTTGCGTACCTCCAGTAAAAATGAAAATAAAAGATACTCTTTGAACACAGACTGTTACTAGTAAGACATTTATTAATAGTATTATTACACTTTTTCCTAAAATCTATTATTATTTCAATGGTGAAGAGGTAAATGCCAGGCTAACCTCAGTCAGATGGTTATTATAGTTAGGTTGACAGTAAATTACAAGAAACATCCAATGACTAAAAACCTATCAGAGAGTATGTAATACATTAAAACATGATGGATAGGCTGCATGAATTGGCAATATTTTATACCACTAAAAACATAATAAAAAACCTAAAAACAGTGTTTGCATATAGTTGCAGATATTAGAAAAATCTTTCATTTAAAATTTGTTAATGTTTTATTTTATATTTGAGAGAGACAGAGACAGAAAGCAAGCAGGGGAGGAGCAGAGAGAGATGGAGACAGAATCAAAAGCAGGCTCCAAGCTCTGAGCTGTCAGCACAGAGCCTGATGCGGGGCTCGAACACACCAATTATGAGATCATGACCTGAGCAGATGTCGGACGCTTGACCAACTGAGCCATCCAGGTGCCCCTAAACCTTTAATTTTAAAGGTTAATTCTGTACCACTTAAAAAAAATCTATCATCTGTCAGAGGCAGATATGTATTGTTTATATCAAGTGATAGTTGTGCTTAAATATAATTTAAGACAGTTAAATATAAATTCATGTTTACTTCCATATAAAAATATATATAAAAATAGAGTATTTAAAGAGGTGGATATTCATACCAAGGAACTTATCAATCAAAATAGTCTTTTTTTTGTGTGTAGTAATGAACCTGAGGTATTTGTACGTTTGGTAATTTCAGACATGTATTGAATAACCCTCCCAGCTTTTTTTCCCCAAAAGAAAAATAATCCTTCAGAAAACAATTTGAACTGTGGGACAGCTCACGACAAAACACTTGTAAAATAAAGAAATTCACTATTTTGAAATTAAAATATAGATGAGAAAGCTCTCAATAGTAGAATTACATATGTTTTATATATGTATGCCACAGTTTTAATAAAAAAATAATTTTATACCTACTCTCAGTTTGGATTAGATAAATCAAAATATAGTTACTAGTAACATATTATTTGTGGACATATACAAATGCTTTATGAACATAAATGCCTATGCACCTGCAAATGCCTAATCCTTTGAAAATATTTATATAAAACATAACCTTAAATTACAGAGGGCTCTAATGGCAAACAAAAGCTTTCATGAGTAGCATCATCAATAAAACATAATAAAGTAATACATGAGGAACTATATTCTGTTTCTCACTTTAAAATTACATATTTAATCAACTTATACTGCAGTTACCCATCCAAGTTCATGGACAGGGTAGGAGGGAATGTTTTTGAAAAGTACAAAGAGTGCAAAGTTAAATACATTGGTGTTTTAACTGTAAATTACTTCACTTCCTATCTTTCTCCAAGAATCCCTCCGAATTCCCTGTGGAACATTCCTGTTCTTCTCCTTTAAAATATAAAATTTAAAAAGTATAGGAAGAAATGTGTTTCCTAAGCATTAGATTACAAAGTGTAATCTATCATACACATCACTTTTTCTCCTAGTAAAAAACAAAAGCACAATCCCTACTTGCAAATGGAATGTGACTGCTTTTTTCCCCTTTTCAGTATTAATGTACCGAGAGAGAAGATAACACAACATTCAAGAGCATTATCCTTTTTGTCCACATAATTCAAGTGTCTGTATTTCTTCCTATTATCACCATGCAATACCTAGCCCACAGCGGTTCCAATTTACAATTATACTTCAAGTAACCTTTTTCAAACTTTAGCTTTCCCCTTGAAACCAAGTGATTTTCAAGTGCACATACTGACCTTATAAAGCTGTAGGGAAAAAAAAGTGTTATTATTACTTGTTTTAGCCATGTGTGCATTGGTGTGTATGCATGTGATAGTGTGCATGAGTGTGTAGTCAATCCAAAATACCCGTGATGTAAGGATTTGGTTCTCAGACCATGCCCCGGTGAGTGGCTGGCCTCCAATTCCAAGTTCAGTCCTCCTACAGGCAGTCTACACAGTTCTTTTACTTGCACATATCCTGCTGAGAAGGATTTCAGAGCAAACCTGATTAATTGGGCCTCTGACATGATATGGTGACTGAGAACTGGTTACAGCGTCTTGTTGCCGTTTGCTCTGATTGCTGAAATATTTTCCCACAAGATGATTGCTTGATTGTTTCATTTTAATAAAGTGATATTCTTTGGGTAACTTTGATTTCACTACCTGCAAATAAAGAGCAAAAAAAAGTCAAAATCAAGGAGATTCAAGCCCTGCATAGATGAGTATAAGTAACTCAGAAACTTGAGTGGCATCTTTATCACACAGATGTTGCCTAAAGGTCATAAATAAGATCTACATAATGAAAAGCCAGACTAACTTATCTGTCAAAAAACCCCCAAGGTTGGAATTAGAATTTCTGCCTTTTTACTTACCTCAGGGCAGTTGGTTTCGGTGCAACCGAGAAATAGTTTCAGTTGGTTTCTCTACCACACTGTTGCCTGTGTGTGTGTGTGTGTGTGTGTGTGTGTGTGTGTGTACTTAGGCCAGATGCTAACACACAGAGAAAACACTGAGGTGCCTATGCTGGGTCACTGAATCAAATACAGTACTTTAAACTTGTCACGGTATCCTTTTATAGAATGGAAATTAAAACTCTTTGCGGAGAAAAGAAAAATACTTTTCTACTGCACAACAATAAGCTGATATCATTACAATTACTGGTTTCATTTTTCTGGGCACTTAGTTATGGAATTTGTAGAAGCAGCCTATGCCATATTAAGCTAGTAATTTATATATGTATATATGTTAATATATTTATCTTAAAATTGTGTGAATAAGCAGAATTATAAAGCATTTATAAAGCATAAAAAATATACAACAAATGTTTCCTCTCCATCTCTGCTTCCCCACCTCCAGTCACTCAGCTGCTTCCCCAGAGACAACATATATTAGCAGTTTCTTTGTATTTCCATTCACACATATTTTATGAATATCAAAACACACACATATATAAACAAAGAGGCCATATTTATAGTCCATTTGTACGAAAAGTTTACGAAAAAGTTGCCCTGATAGACAGTGATATTCTATAACTGTCAGTTTCAATCACTGGGTTAATGTAATTCAGGTTGTTAAGTCAGAGGGAACCAGAGGGGATCAGACAAACTGGGGAGAGGGCTGCAAGCAGGGAGGAGAGAAAATACTGGCAAACATGTTTGGAGTGTCTTTACAAATGAATAATAAATCACTAAGTCACTTTCTGAATGATTAATAGTGCAATTGTAAGACATTATTTTAGGTCAACATGGACACATAAACTATGTAATTTTGGTGCCTAATGAAGGCAGCACTGGCTCACATAGATTTTTAAAATTCCTTTAAGCACTTTATAATGATTTAGATCCACATTTTTAAAATTCCATATGAGGATACACTGAAAACAGCTCCAAAAATACAGACTATTTAAACAAATACAAGATATTTATTTTGAAGATAAGCATTTTTAGTTATATGCAAGTAAGTATGAACTTTTTAGAAGATTTATTTGAAAAGAAATTCTGTAAAGATCTAAACCAAAATGTTAGCGATCTTTGGGTAGAGGAATTCTAGCTGATTTAAAATGTACTCTTCGTAACTTTTAGTCTTGACTCTTTTATTTGAAAACAACAAATGTACATTCCTTTATAATCATAAAAATGTTGAAGCTATTCCCGTTCTGAAGAAAAAATGTAATAGTAATGCATTTGAAAACCAATTATACCCTGCTAACCCCAAAGAAACGAATTGTTTTCCTGTAGCTACGGGAGGTTTGGTTTTTTATGATCAGGCCCTCAGATGAAGTGATTCTTAAGACGACCAGTGAAATCAGTGGGTTGTGGTAAGGAATCCCTACGAATGGTAATTCAGAGCTCAGTTTGCAGTGAAACACTGATTAATATTCCAGGTCCTGAGGTTGGAAGTTTCTCTTATGTGCAGTTCCTTCCACCCTCTTCGGTTATACTACAACTTTAAATATGATAGGAAGGGAGGTGCCCCAATGTTTTCCTGAAAGTTCTGCCTGTTTTGGAGGAGGTGTGTATTCAACAATAGCAAGATTAGTGAACATTTTTAAGGAAGTTTTTTTAAGGAAACACTTAAGCATAAATATTACATTAAACCTTGAAAAAATATTATTTCAGTGTTCTGAAGCCAAAATAAGGTTACTTTTGTTTATATAAGTTTATCTTAAGGTCTGGCTTTGGCAATTGCCAGATGATCTACATGCTAATTAAATGCAAATAGTTAAAAGTACATCCCGTTGCAAAAGGTTGTATCATTTAAATTATCTCAATGTTTTGTATGATTTCAGGGTCGCATTTAACGTTGCATTACAAATGTTGGATAATGCTAGTGTAGATGCTTACAGCAATCTTGAATGTGATTTATGAAAGAGATAATACAAAAATGTATATTTCCAGTGCTTTCTTGAAGCATATAGCTTCTCCTTAAGAGTAGTGTCAATACGTTGCCAGATCACATGGGAAGGTCGATGATGTATTTCTATTTTTAAACCACTAAGGTGAGCTCTGAGAAAGGAGGACGGGATGACGGAGTCCCTTCCATCTTCTGAGGGCCTGCCTATGCCTCTCACAATGCCACTGCTTGCAGTATGCTCTTCCAGACTGAATCCAACGCATCTATCCCAGGGCTTGGCCCAACAGCACTTAATTCAATTGGTTGCCTTTGAAAGGTATTTTGCAAGAAATAATCAAAGGTGATAACTTTCTTAATTCCTTGGTTAAGCCAGTATTACTTTGAAGCTGACTGCTGAAAGGTGACAAACCTACAGAGAAAGAATTACTTCAATTTTGATTTGTCAAAATAAAGATGTAAAAAGTCTTCCTGAATACTACTGTAAATTGAGTCCAGGAGTCTTTTTAAAAAATCCAGCACTATTATGCACTATACCACAAGCACATACAATTTATTTCAGGAATGTAAGCTTTAATATTATAAAATATTTTGTTACAGGAAATTACCAAGAATTATTTATAGTTATATGATTGTCTACCTTGAAAACCAAAAAATAATGAGATGTTATGACGTTAATATTATAGCTTTTCTATATTCTATCAATAATTAATAAGAGACCTATTAGGGAAAAGATCCCACTACAATACTAAAACAACTTCATTCAATTCAGCAATTATGCAGGTGAAGAAAACATGAAGTTTAATAAGAGGGAAACATAAACAAATGGAAAGACATACCACAACAAATCTCCCCAGATTAATTAAAATACTATGCCAATTGTAATCTCAGCAGTATTTGAGGAAAACATGACAAAGAAATCCTAAAATACATCTTAAAGAATAAATGTAAGGAAATAACCAAGACCAGTAACCAAAGAAACAGTGCTGGGGGGAGGCAATTTTCATTATCAGATGTTCACTCATCAGTATTAACCGAGTCTACCATCAGCCTACCATACCCAATTTTTTGTTGCATAAGCCAAGTATAAGCAGAATTCAATACTGAGAAAATAAAGGGATATCCATACTACAGATTAAATTACATTTCATATACTGCTATTCTTCCCTAAAAGTGTTTCTAGAGCAATAATGTAGTTCTAAATAAAGCCCAATGTTATATAAATCTAGCAATCATAAATGTTGACAGCATTAAGAGTATTAATTACATGGAATTAAAACCAAGAGTGTATGTATAAAACGGAACTATGCGCCAAACTGCTAATAGAATCTCCAATGGGGAAGGGAATGAGAATCGAGGGGTATATATGACATAAAATCAGAAATTTTTTAAAAAAGATTTTATTTTTAAGTAATCTCTATACTCAATTTGGGGCTCGAACCAATAACCCTGAGATCAAGAGTTGCATGCTCCACTGACTGAGCCTGCCAAGGTGCCCCTAAGGGCAGAGATTTTTGTTTTTATTCTATATACTTATTTTTTTTTTACCATTAACAAGAATTCATGTAATCCTTTTATATTAGAAAAGCAGTAGAAGAGATTTACTGATTTATTTTTTTGCATATAATATCCAATTTTCAATCTTCAGAGTCCTCTGTGAGAAAACACATGGAGTCATTCAGATATGGTCCTTACCCTCACGGGGACTATATAAAGACACATGTCTAAGATACTTGAAGTAAGCACAAGAATGAAATGACTTCAAAGACATGGTCTGAGACTAGCTCCCCAAGGTCAGGCACCATGTTGTTTCCTCGTAATGAATAGTTTCTTCGTACATTACTTAGTGCTAATTTATAGTGGGCACAATGATCTGTTCACACAGCTATTATTTCTTTGAACTCATTTGTCAAATTTATTCTCCAGCATTGCTGTCAAAGTGCAATCTCCAAGTTTCAAAATATTACTTTGTTTGACCTACTCTTACAGGCTCTAAAGTGAAGGAAAAGGAGTTAGCTATAATTTTAAGGCTTGAAAGTGTTATGCAAGTGAAAGATGTTTGATACCTGTACAATAAAGAACTAATTGCTTCTTTCCTTTGATCTCTTGTGTGGAAATGTGCCCATTTGGGTCCTTCCAAAAATCAGAGGACCATTTAGGATTATTAAAATCCAACAAAAGTATAAACTGAAATGTGGCTTTGAAAGAGAAATGTTCACAATACAAATGGTAGGTTACCTCTGGGGCATAGTGATAATAATAATAATAGTAAACAACAAAAGTGAGATATTCGAAAATATTGTGAAAGATTTAGACTTTGAACCAAAGACAAAAGACTCCAGATGTTTTTGTACAGTGATCATGTCAACCAGAGACAAATTCTAATGGTTTGACACTGACAAACACTTCTTTAAATTTAGGTGCATATGACCTGGCCACTGAGAAAGAGACATGCATCCTAGAGGGATAAGGAGCTATCCCATATTATTAAATAATACATGTGAATTGGCAAACATTTACATTACTCTAAACATGAATGTTAGATGACAATTCTTTTGAGACTTGACTTATTTTTAACGTTTATTTATTTATCTTTGAAGAGGCAGAGCACGAGTAGGGGAGGAGCAGAGAGAAAGGAAGACAAAGAATCCAAAGCAGGCTCTGCCACTGTCAGTGCAAAGCCCAAAGCCTGACACGGGGCTCAAACCCATGAACCGTGAGAGATGACCTGAGGTGAAGTCATAGGTTCAACTGACTGAGTGACCCAGGTACCCCTCTTTTGACACTTTAAATAATCCAAAGTAACTCTTTGT